ATTACTGACCTTGAGCATTTTTTGTATGCTTGTTGCGAATTTGTATATCTTCTTTGGAGAAATGTCTGTTCAATTCCTTCGCCCATTTCTTAATTGGGCTATGTGTTTATTTTGTTGTTGAGTTTTAGGAGTTCTTTACACATTTTGGACATAAACCCCTTATCAGGTAGATAGTTTGCAAATATTTTCTCCCATTCTGTAGGTTGCCTTTTCACTCTGTTGATTGTTTCCTTTCTGCATAGAAGAAACCCACTGGGTCTGTAGGAGAGTTCTCACGTCATTGTATCCTAGACGGTGCTGGATAGTCAGACTTTCATTCTTGTTGCTCACATTTCATAGACTCTAAAAGCCTTAGGACTTGGGCAAAAACAGTTCTAGAACCCCGGACTTCTCATTCCCAGCCCAGGGCTCAGGAGTTGGTTTAGGTATTAACCATTTATGCCCTTTTACCTGTACTTTCTACAAAATTTTCAGAAATATGTTGACAAAATTGTGGTCCTGGAGTTTGGGGTTTGCCCTGACAATCAACCTCGTCCCTAGTTTGGTAGGGAGGAGATGTAACCCGTCTTCTCTGTCATTTCAAAAACCTCCTGAAAAACATGATTTCTTATCTTGTTTTGTTTTTCCAAGTGAGTACGGGGAATGGGGGCAGAATGTCAGGGGTGAAATTATACACCATTATTTGGAGAGTCTGGCGAACTTTAAGACAGGGCTGGAGATAAAATTCAAGACATATTTGAATCAAAAATGGTTCATCAAAATAGGCCCAGGGTGTTATTAATGCAATCAAGAGGAAAGGTTCTCTGGACAGAGATGCTGAACAATTCAAATCTGGAAGGTCGATGTGATTCTGCTGTTATGAAAACACAGGGTGTGCTTTTGTAGGTCAAAATATTTACTTCTGTGCAAATCATGCATCTTTCTACGGAACTCATTGTTCAAAGATAACATAATCCTCCTTCCTTTATTTTTGTCCCAGAGGACTTCCTGTTGGCTGAAAGGATAGGTATTCACAAAGGCTTAAAGGCATGAATTAAAGCTGAAGCCTTTTCCCTGAGGAACACTAGGCCTGGAATTTAGGTGCTGCATTTATGAATAATGCAGAGAGACGCCAGGGAAAAGGGCAGCATCATGGGTGGGTCTCTATCTTGCTGTATTCCAGGAAGCTCTCCTTTCCTTAACCTACACCTGGGTTTGTTTACTCGTAAGCTAATTAAACTTTAAGTCTTAGAGTCCTCCTCTCAAAATGAGGATAATAATAATTCTGACTTCCCAGGACTATTGTGACAATTAAAAGAGATAATGCATGCGAAGAGTCTAGCATATAGGAAGCACTTGATAAATGCCAGCTCTTCTTCTTATTAGTTTCTACCCTCTCTGAATTCTGAAAAGGCTTTTGGTGGCATGCCTCATAATTTAGTAGCTAATTGCATACTGTCTTATATAGTTTGCTACTATTTCTTCCAAATTAATTGTATCTTTCTTATGCATCATAGATCTTATGAAGCAGACGCTGCCTCAATAATATCTAACGCTGCTCCTTTATAGTGTACGAAATGTGTCCACAGATATTCTTTTACACATCTTTTGAATGTCCCACTTGCCCAGTCCATAGCTGGACATGGACGAGGCACTCTACAATCTATATTAACTGATTGACGGCTCTTTGTCAGAAAGATTAATCCTTTCAGACCGATTCAATGATGGTGAATGATAGAGCTTCACTTTGAAGAAAGAGCACACTGCATTTAAAAACATCCTAAAAGAAAGCTTCTCACCTTGAGACTTAGTCTGCTAGATTGAATACAAAATGATATTAATCCTTTTTCCTGGGAGCACTCTGGTAAAGTTAAAAAAAGCACCTGGGCACACTGTCCCTTCTTTGAAGAGGAAAGCACAATACTGTAATGGAACGTGGAGCGCATTGCTAAGCAACAGAGCCAGGTCTGGACTGCACAGGGGTGAAAATTCTTCTTTGTTTGGTATGATGAAGAATTATTAAATGGAAAATGCTTAATAGAATCTTACCTGCAACAATAACACTCATTATTTTTCAAAGCACTAATCAGCAGGTGATAACTAATTTTCATGGGAGTCTCTGACAACAGCTCACGGTGCTGTTCTCTGAATCAAAGAGTTCAACAAGAAGCTTTCAGATGTTCATTTTGATGGGAGGCATGGATTTGACATCTGGATTAAGTCACCAATCCTGGTGTTCTAGGTGTAATCCAGGATTATAAAAATCCATCTCAAGTAATTTCAATACCCGTTAATCCGGATGGAAATGTAGAATAACATATATGTAGAATAACATAATTTGAAACATAAAATACATGTAGAATAACATAATTTAAAACAATGGTCTCCAGATAGTGTCACCTGGGAACCCGTTAGAAATGCAAATTCCTGAGCCCCGCCCCAAGCCTACTGAATCAGAAACTCTGGGGGCGGGGCCCAATCTTGGGGATTCTGATGCTCTTTAAAGTTTGAGAAGCACTGACTTAAAGGATTGGGGTCACTGTGTGAGACACACAAAAGTAGACAGTGAAGAGTTCAGTTCGGTTTGGTACTGGTGGATCATCCTGAACCGCTGTTGAACTGTTCAACCATTTTGAACTAGGGAAGAAACGGATAGTTGTAATTCTGAAAGTAACCACAGAGGAAAAAGCACGCGTAATGAAGGAAATTCTTCCAGGTAGCCTTCGGTTACTTCCTCCTGAAACTAGAGCCATCCATAATCACTTTCCACCAGCTGCATTTGCGACAATTTTCGAACAGATCATTTATCAAGAATACATAGTAATTTCTTTGTTTTTTTCTTTCCTCCAGAGACATCAAGGTGAAACGATGTCCATTGCTTATTATAAGGGAGATTGATAACATGCAAAGGTTTAAGTAAAATAAAATATGAAGTCTAGAAAATAATATGTGACATCAATAACATAAACTTGGCATCATTTTGAAAGTTTGAAATCATGTATATTAACTCAGCAAAATGACTGAGAAGGCCATTGCTCAGTTACGTATTGAGAATTAAATTTGATAAACGATGTAACTTCACTCTATCAGCTACTAGCCTTGCAGCCATAAGTCAGTCACTTTACCTCTCTTGCCTCCATTTTTACTTTTGTGAAATAGGGAGCCATTTCTTAGTTCCTCTCTATTTCCAGAATTCTGTGATTGTATGATACTGCACATTCTGGAAAATATCTCATATTTTTTTCAAAGGGATACCATATGCAGTAGCTCGCTTGACCTTTGCAAGAACCCAATCCTGCTGTGCAGTAAAAGAAATGTTTAACTTTGGAGACTCGAATCTTAGGAAGCACGTAATAATCATTGTATAGGTTTGGCAGAAAGTTCAGATATCTAATAGTTAACTAACTTGGGAAATGCTGTTTTGAAGAATATCTTGCTATGCTTGCAGGATGTGTATCATAGGAAGAATGTTCTTGGATAGCCAAGCCCTGATCTCCACGTGTTCCCAAAGGGAACATTGTCACTGCTGCCTTCTAGGAGAGATCCATGAGCCCTAAGTTGAGGCTAAGCTGCCCTGACCTTGCTCTTCCTGGGCGAATGTTCCCGGGGAACCTGGCCAATCTGCAGGGAGCGTAGTATCAACAGGGCAGTAACTAGGACTCAGGACTTTGGGATAAGACTGACTTGAATTTGGAACCCGCCTCTGACACTTAGCTAGTTGCACCAACTTCATAAGGCTGTGCAAGGACTGAATAAAACTAAATGAGATGATATGTGTAAAGAACGTTCACAGTTCCTGGGATGTAGTAAATGTTCAATAATTTTTAGCTTGAAAAATTAAGATTACAACTGTTGAGGGAAATTGAATAATTTAAATCGGGTCTCAATGAATATGTTACTGTACATAAAACCCTCTGTTATTCTGCATTCTGCTTATTCTTCATATGCAAATGTATCTTAGGCTTATTCGCTAATTGATTCATTGACCTCTTAATTCAAGAACTATTTATTGAGCACCTATTATGTGAAAGACTCTCCTGCAGACATTGGAAATGTAACAGCAAACAAGACAGCAAAGGTCCCTGCTCTGATGGACGTGCATTTTAATAGGGAGAGACAGAAAATACTCCCCTTCCCAATAAACAAACAAACAGATAAGAAAATTAACTAGTAGTGATAAACGCTAAGGAAAAAAAATGAAACAAGATGATATAATAGAGTCTGAGGGGCAATTTTAGATCAGGTGTTCAGGGAAGCCTCTCTAGGGAGGTGAGATTTAAGATGTCACTTGAATAACAAGATGGAGCAAAGTTCTAAGGAGCCTGAGCAAGAAATGATAGTGATTTAGATGAGGGTAGTGGTGGTTAGAATGGAGAGACGTGATTGGGTCAGGAGATGTAGCCGTAGAATCAAGAGGATTTATAGATGGATTGGATGGAAGGTATGAGGAAAAGAGAGGATTCAAGGATGACTCCTACAGTCTTTGGCTTAACAGAATGGTAGTACCATTTACAGAAGTGGAGCAGGTTGGGGAGGAGTAGGTTGGGGGTATGAAGAATCAGGAGTCTAAATTTGGAAAGATTAAGTCTGAGTTGCCTATCGAATTCCAAGTGGAGATGTCAAGTAGACAACTGGATACATGAGGTCAGAGCTAAACATTTGGGAAATTTTTTGCCTTTAGATAACATTTAATGGAATGGGTTGGATGAGAGCACTTAGGGAAAAGAGTACAGTTAGAAAAGAGAAGAGGTTCTTGGAGTATTCTTAAAGTTTCAGGTACTTCTGACTCATAACAAAACCTTGCAGTAATATACAACCCTTGTAGGATTAGCCACATAAAAATGAATTGACAGGAATTTTTTACTTTCTCACATTCTTTAGTATACATAAATGCGGACCAAAAAGAAGTCTGGTTGTAATACACTGGGCTTATATGCATTCATTGACCCATATTTTTGAGTGCCTCCTGCAAGGCACTGTATTGGGCACTATAGGAAAATGAAATCAATAGGACAGTCATGTTGTTGGTCCAACATTTTTACTGAGCACAAGCTAGGTGCAAAATATTAGACGATTTGAGTAGAAATCACAAAAATGGAAAGTCGATTCTGTGTCCTCAAGAGAAGACAGTCTAAAACTGCTACTCAGAAGGAGAACAGCCACTCAAAAATCGCAAGGCTGGTGTGTTTCCTTTTCCTTCTACACGTCTGATGTTCCAAGGCTATTAGGAGAAATCTACACGGGCCAAAGGCATTTGGTGAGGTAGGCCGCAGTCATAACTCATTTCGTCTTTTCCCCTGCCTTCTTCTTCTGGTCAACGGGAGGGTTTCCCTGGGTGGAAAGAAATTTGTTTCAGCCCATCTCATACTTCAGGTTGACTGGTACTCCAAGCATCTCATCTTTCATATTCTCATTATCTGGGGAGAAGAGACATAAAGAATCCATTAGCACTTTTAATAGCTAATTTCTTTGCCCTGTTAAATCAAATACGGTCTCCCTGAAGAAGCGTTCTACCGCTTCAATACTAATATCCACTATTTGTTCAAAATTCTATACTTCCTCTATAGCTAGGAGATGGACTGGGTGCCTGCCCACTGATCTGTGCAAATGGGAAGGAAGGGAAGTACCTCTTCTGGGCTAATGGCTGGGTTTGCTTTATTAAGCTGCAGCTGAACCTCTCAGTGGATTGTTGTCGCATCAATTATGCTGAAACAAAAATCATTATATTTAGCAGTCATTGTCTAATTTTTAAATGGATTTTATTAAATAAGCCCAGATAAAAGCTTACTTCATTCAACTACTTGGTGCACTTGCTGATAAATCACTCTGGCAGACCCGTGGATGATGTAGTTCTGCTTGGAAAGAAACTCTCAATAAAAGTCCAGGTGAAGTTTTTTTGTGGTTAATGTGGCCAATTATTAATGGAAATACTTAGGGTTTATTTTGGAGAGGGGGTAAAAATAATTTCTTTGGGCTCTATCATGTCAAATTCTACGGTCTTAGCCAAATACTTGGCCATAAGCTTAAGCAGGCTCAAACTTTTTTTGTTGTTCATTGAGAAACATCTTGGCCTTTTTCGCTGAGACCAAGTGGAGCTTGCTTCTATGTCACTCTACTCGAACAAGGATGAAAGGTTAGCTACGAAATTGTTCCTCACAAAACGTTAAGTCAATCCCTTTATGTCTGCTCTCCGAACTGCATGAATTTCTTTTCAATCAATGATACATGATGTCAGCCCAGTGGATATTCAGCAGAGAATTTAGCTATTAAATTTTGCCATTCGCAATACCTAGGTTCAATTGTTAGCGAGTAGCTGAGAGAGTCTAAATGGCATCCATTTACTAGTTTCTTTCAGTCACTGCATTTATATCACCAGAAACTCAGCACCTGGGCTGTATTATCTTGTGCTTTCTATTGGGTTAATACTAGGAATGTACATTTGAAGAACATTTTGGTATCTTATACAAAATAATACAGGAAAATTATAGTTTATTAATCTGATATTCCTTATACAAAGAATCCTATGATAAATTCTTGCTTGAAAGCAGAGTCGGAGAAATATTAGTCTCTTTAGATGACTCCCTATGTTTTCTTTCTTTGAGAGATGGGAACTATACAACACAAATGATTTTCTCTTTTTATCATGAATGCCGGGAAACTAAGAATTCACTTTAGCATGTCCTAATATCTTTAGGTGTCCTAATATCTAAAATTATTAATTGGCTTCTTATCCATCTTTTAAATGTGTGTAGTACAGTTTTATAATGACTGCAAATCTTTTTGAAGAAATAGGACAGGTCACTTCCCCAAAGAAGTTTTCTCTGAAGACACAACTGAAATCAGTTCCCCTGCCCTAGCCCCTGAATAGTTTTTCTTATCAAAGCACTCTTCCTTCATTTTACCTATAATAATTTGTAATTATTAATTTTTATTTGTTTTGTTGTTTATGTTTGTCTCCTTCTCTAGACTCTAAGTCCATAAAGACAGAGACCATATCTCTCTTTCAGGATGTTAGCCCTAGCTGACCCAGCACATAATAAATTCTCAATAAAAACTTACTGCCTCACTTTGTGAATAAATTGTAATAATTTCAGTACTATCAATCGCTGAAGTCTTATAGCATAATCCTTCAAGCATCTTGCAGTGTTGTTGGGGTATTGAATTAGTACACGATAATTTGCTTAATAATGTATTTGGTTCTTTTAAAAGGTTTGCAATTTAAGTTTTTGTGAACTATCTCAGGATTTTGACAATAAGCGATAATTAACCCAAGATCAAAATGAACTATCAGAGAACTAAAGGAATAATTAGAATTCATAACTTAGGAAAAGAACAATTAATTAGTGTACATGATTCAGGTAATGTTATCTCCAGCATAACACCTTTATCAAGATTTATACAGGAAGAGGAGACAGCACGGCTGCCTGTTTCAAGAGTAGGTTTAGGATTTACAGTTATGGGGATGGGTGCCTGTATTTCCTTTGACAAATTCTGTTTTGTTTTTTTTCAGGGGGCGGAGCAGTACGGCAAAGGGAGGCTACATGGGATTCCTGTTGCATGTCAAGAAAATAGCAGAGATGAAATGGGGGCTAAGAATTTAAGTCCAGTCTTCACGTCTTCACACGACAATGGGCAAGTCCTTCACCATCTTCTTTCTGTACTTCTTTCCTCCTTCACTCCTTTCCTTCCCTTGTTGTCAGGTCTTCTCAGTCTCCTCCAGTCTGTGACAGTCTCTCAGTCTTTCCTGGTCTTTCATGACCTTGACAGTTTTGAACAGTAATTGTCAGATAGTTTGTCGAAAATCTCTCAATTTGGGTTTGTCTGATGTTTTCTCCTGAGAAGACTGAGATTATGAATTTGGGGGAAGAATACCACAGAGGTGATATGCCCCTCTTGTCACATCGTATTGAGCCATGTGATATCAACATGACTTATTTCTGGTGATGTTAATCTTGATCACTTGTTTTGGGCTGTGTCTGCCAGGTTTCTCTGCTATGTAAGTTTTTCTTTCTATACTCTGTTGGTTAGAAGCGTGTGCCTTTTAGTGCCCAGGTGTATTGAGATATAATTGACAATGACAATTGTATACATTTGTGGTGTACAACGTGATATTTTGATATACATATACATTGTGAAATGATTACCACAATCAAGCTTATCCATCACCTCACATAGCTATCATTTGTGTGTGTGTGTGTGTGTGTGTGTGTGGTGAGAACATTTAAGATCTACTCTTTTAGCAAATTTCAAGTATATGATGCAGTATTATTAACTACAGTTACCATGCTGCACACTGATCTCCAGAACTTATTCACGCCTCATAACTCAAACTTTGTACCCTATGACCAACGTCTCCCCATTTCCCCCACCCTCCCACCCCTGGCAACCACCATTATACTCTCTGCTTCTGAGAGTTTGACTTTTTTAGGTTTCACACGTAAGTGAAATCAGGCAGTACTTGTCTTTCTGTGTCTGGTTTATTTCATTTAGAATAATGTCCTCTATGTTCATCAACGTTGGAGTGTATGACAGGATTTCCTTCATTTTTCATTTTTTTTTCCAGTTAAGACTTTTTTAGAGCAGTTTAAGGTTCACAGCAAAATTGGGGGGAAGGTACAGAAATTTCCCATGTACTCCCTGCCCTCATACATGCACAGCCTCTCCCATTACCAACATCCCCCATCAGAGTGGCATATTTGTTACAACTGATGAACCTATGTCGACACACCATAATCACCCGGAGTCCATAGTTTACCTTAGGGTTCACTCTTGGTGTTGTATGTTCTATGGATTTGGACAAATGTATAACGACATGTATCCATCATTATGGTATCATACAGAGTATTTTAACTACCTTAAAAACCCTCTGTGCCCAGCCTATTCATCTCCCCCTGACCCAACCCCCTGGCAACCACTGGTCTTTTTACTATCTCCATAGTTTTGTCTTCTCTAGAATGTCATATGGTCAGGATCATACCATTTGTAGCCACTTCAGATTGACTTCTTTCACTTAGTAATATGCATTTAAGCTTCCTCCATATATTTTCATGTTTGACAGCTTCTTTCTTTTGTTTTCCTCCCCAAAGCCCCAGTACATAGTTGGATATCCTAGTTGCAGGTCATTCTGGTTCTTCTGTGTGGGATGCCACCACAGCATGGCTTGATGAACAGTGCGTAGGTCCACACCCAGGATCTAAACTGGCGAACCCCGGGCCACCGAAGTGGAGCACATAAACTTAACCACTCAGCCACGGGGCCAGCCCTGATAGCTTCTTTCTTTTTAGGGCTGAATGATAGTCCATTGTCCGGATGTATCACAGTGTATTTATCTACTCACCTACTGAAGGACATTTTGGTTGCTTCCAAGATTTGGCAATTATGAATAAAGCTGCTATAAACATCCATGTGCAGGTTTTCGTGTGGATGTAAGTTTTCAACTCCCCTGGGTAAATACCAAGGAGCATAATTGCTGGGTCATATAAGAGTATATTTAGTTTTGTAAGAAACTGCCAAACTGTCTTCCAAAGTGGCTGTACCATTTTGCATTCTCCAGCAATGAATGAGAGTTCCTTTTGCTCAACATCCTCGTCAGGATTTGGCATCGTCAGAGTTCTGGATTTTGGCCATTATAATAGGTGTGACTTCCTCCTTTCTTAAGGCTGAATTTTATACACACACACACACACACACACATCCATATATCGCATTTTCTTTATTCATTTGTTGATATACACTTCAGTTGATTCCATATCTCAGCTGTTGTATATAATGCTGCAAGGAAAATGGGAGTGCAGATGTCTCTTCAAGATACTGATTTCATTTCCTATGGATATATACCCAGAAGTGGGATTGCTGGATCATATGATGGTTCTATTTTTAAGTTTTTAAGGAATCTCCATACTGTTTTCCTTATGGCTGTACCAATAGAAATGTGTCACTTTTTTTAACTCAAGATTTTAAGAGTTGTTTTATTTCATTTCCAAACTTATGAGATTTATGGAAGCTATCCTTTTGTTTAAATTTCCATTTTTATTGTATACATTGTATGCTATTGATTTTTTGGAATTTATTGAGGTGCCTTCATGACTTAATTCATGACCTATTTCTGTAACCGTTTCGAGTTTGAGAAAAATCTGTTTTCTCCATGGCTTACTTTCTACATCTATAAAACAGGAAGAGCCAAAAATATCCAACTCCTCTGATTTTTGTTTTGAAGTTTGCAAAACCAAAGACAAAACCGAAAGAAAAATACTACACTTGTTCTTTTTCACTCTTTCTTTTGCAGACTCACAATGGTACATCTGGACACAAGTAAACACGATTGTGGAGAGAGAAAAAGGAAAATATTTGTTCTTCCTAAAAATGGATTTGTTACCACTGGGTAACAGGTGCTTAATCCTCTGTGGGGGCACAATTCCAACCTACAGAGAGCGCCTGGACAGAGCGGAGGCGTGACCACCTGTGAGAGTGATTCCGATCTGTGTTTGATTCCTTCGGGCCTGCTGGCCTTAGATATTTATATAAATGAGGCTGGATCTTTGATGTGCTGCTCAGAAGTATCACTGAACGCTAGGATGGGGTGGTGGTCCTCCAGTCTGCCTAGCAGTTGCCCAGTCAGACAGCCAGCCTGGTTGCTTAGAAGGCAGTGTGGACGTTCATCTAAATTTGCCATAAGAAGAATTTCATGGTCAAGAACTTCACACACAGATTTAAGTCAGATCCTTAACAGCCAATCTCTCAGGTTGTTCATCGTTAGAACCCCATGCCTCTCAGCTCCTGCACTAACTCGTCCCATGCTGTCTCTCACTCTCTTTTCTTCTCTTCTGTGACCTGTCATGGAACACACTGTTGGCTACCCACCTCCCCCTGGACATCATCAATGTCTCCTTGTAGTTCCTGGATTTCAAGCCTTTCTAGATACAGCGAGTCATCAAGAAGCGGTTTGAATTAGGTGGTTTTACATGGCTGTTTTTTGGGCTCTTTGTTTCAATTTCACTATACGTTTAAGAATTCTCAAAGTTTACAGTTGGAAAACATACACTTGCTTTTCCTCCCCAAAACTCAGCTATTGGTAGTATCGCAAGAAGTCTGCACTTTATCCGGATGAAGACAGAGAATGCTGTCCACGTACGGAAGGGCAATCTTGCCAGGAGGGGACAGCAGTTCCAGAACAAAAGAAGAGGGAGAGAGTGAAGAGAGTACCTGGAACGCAAGAGTATCAAGAGTGAGAGGCGGCACCAGAATGATTTGCCAATATTTTGGCTGTCATTAGAACCACAGATTACCATACAGGGCTGTGTGGTGTACTGTGTACTGGAAAGAGCATGACATCAGAGGAAGCTGGCTAGAATTCAGGTTTACTGTGTAGTAGCTGTGAGATTTTGGCTAAGGCACTCGAGCACTTTGATTCCCAGTTTTGACATATGTAAAATGCTAATCATCATAATCATCATAATAATCCTTGCCACCCATGTAAAAATATTGTCACTGCTGGTATAGTAAAACGGTATACTGGTATAGTAACACTTTAAACTGGTTACAAAAATTAGAAGGTTGTGATCAGGGAGGTCCAGAATTGCTCTCCATCGATTTGCTAACAAAGATATTTTCATCTTCCGTGAGAGGTGTTGGTTATGAAAACCTCTATAGAAATAATGATATGAGATTTTTTTCTGTTGCTGTCAACCTATTTTTACCAGGTGTATGGCTTTCTGTATGTGTCACCCAGTTGATTTAAAAGTGAATCAGTGAGTGTATTTATAGATTGCCTCATTTCAGAAAGGAATTTGAGGAAGGATCCTCAATTTGACATTCTTTTATCTCTCTATATTTGGATTTTGCATTCGTCTTGCCTTCCAAATTAAAAATGTGGTGAACTCAGCAGACTGGCCTCCAGTATTAGCCACCCCCTCTCTTTTTTTATTTTTTATTATTTTTTTAAAGATTTTATTTTTTTCCTTTTTCTCCCTAAAGCCCCCCCGGTACATAGTTGTATATTCTTCATTGTGGGTCCTTCTAGTTGTGGCATGTGGGACGCTGCCTCAGCGTGGTTTGATGAGCAGTGCCATGTCCGCGCCCAGGACTCGAACCAACGAAATACTGGGCCGCCTGCAGCGGAGCGCGCGAACTTAACCACTCGGCCACAGGGCCAGCCCCAGCCACCCCCTCTCTTTTTATCATGTCTTTCTGTGCTTCAGAAGCTGGAAAACTCCAAACAACACGCCTCATACACCTTTGCTGCTAATGTTCTGTGTGGGAATTCAGTTTCACCAACTGCATGCATTCAAGTAAGATTCACAGGTGCTCTTTTGATGCTGCTGGCAGATACAGCTGCAGAGACCTTGGTTGTCCTGCAGAACTTTGTTAATTCTGTGCAAGCGGTCAAGTGCAACGATAGGTCAACTGCTGTACCAATTGTGTTCTTAATTGTTTTACTTTTTGTTGCGTAACCCCGCTACTGAAAAAAAATGTTCTGAAAAGAGTTTGATTTGCATATGTCTCTGTATACTTTCCACAGTGACAATTACATAAACTCACTTTTTAAATAGTTTTTGTTAATTATTGAATATTTTAAGTAAAATTACAAACTGTAAGTAAAGTATGGAGCGTTCCAAAGGCCAGTCACTTGCTCTGTCAGTGTTGAGAAGAGGCTGGGACTGTGGCATGGTGGCTCCATCTTCCCGATTGTGGCCAGGATCCCGTTTGGCAGTGTTGTTTAGGGAGTCATCCTTGGATGCCCAGACGTTCTCCAGCCTTTCCAAGGATCGTGAATGTCCTCAATTCCCCGTGGCAAATCCCTTTCTGTCTAGACTGGCTAGCTGATTGTTGCAACTGAATCCTGACTGAATCTTGACTTGTAAACTATTTGTGGGCAGGAACCCTGTGATATAAAGAAATTACCTTGCATTTTAGTGGAGAGAAATGGATGATAAACAAATGATTGATAAACAAATGATTAAGTAAAAGTTTTAGTTAGATGGTGATATGTACTATAGATTTTTTAAAAAGCTGGAAAAGGGGATGAGGACTACAGGAAATGAATGTGGGTGTGTTACAATTTTAAAGAGTGACCCTGGAAAGCTTCACTAATTAAGATTACTTTTTTTTTTTTTTTGCTTAGGAAGATTTGCCCTAAGTAAACATTTGTTGCCAATTTTCCTCTTGTTTTTCTGCTTGAGAAAGATTCGCCCTGAGCTAATATCATGCCAATCTTCCTCTGTTTTATACATGGGTCACTGCCACAGCATGGCCACCCAGGAGTGATGTAGGTCCCTGCCCAAGAATCAGGCGGGCCACAGTAGCAGAGCACCCCCAAATTAACCACTAGGCCACAGACCGGCCCCTTAAGGTGACTTTCAAGACCTTCTTATTTATTATGCTAATTGCGTGCAAGATACTGGTGGAGTTACTGTGTTAAAATGCAATTATCCAATTACTCCTTTGCTTAGATAACCCCTTAAGTGACGTAATTATTTTCCATCTCCAGGCGGCTATATTGTTTACCCACAGCAAACATGGCGGAAAAGGCTTCAGTCTGACACCGGGGGTGGGGGGGGCCCCCAATAAAGATGGCTACAGCACTTCCTGCGTTTGCCCTCAACAAAGATGGCGACAGTACTTCCTGTTCAGGGCTCTCGCCTTCAACAAAGATGGTGCTTACGGTACAGGTTCCCTAACACTTGGGATTCCGGTTGCAGTTTTTTTTTGTTTTTTTTTTTTAAGATTCGTGTTTGCAGACGTAAGTAACAGCAAACCAGAAGCCCCGTATCCATCTTTTCTCGAAGGCCCCGCGCCTGGCGTCTACGGCCTGGGCCCTGCGGGGCTCCCCCGCCCCCTAACTTGCTGGCGGCGTTCTAGAGCCCGGCGGGGCTGGGGTGGCGGTGGGGATGCCGGGGGCCTGCTCTCCCCTCGGTCCGCTCTGGATATCAGTCTCAGCATCCCCCTTTTAGCGGGTCAACTTGCCCCGAAAATCTCTCCTCGTTCTTCCTGTTCGTCACACAGCAGGGCTCCAGCTGGCGAGGCAGGGAATAAAGAGAAGTTCCAGGCGGGCGCTGGCGGCCCAGCGTGCACCCCCTCCTCCTCCCTGCCGCCTCCCGGGCTTCACAGAGAGTGCCAGGAGCAGCGGCGGGGGTCGCCGCCCGTCGTGGTGCTTTGGGGGCGTCTGGAAGGCTCCTGTGTCGCCCCTGCCTCCCCTCGTTTCTCTCTCAACCACCACGCCGCCGCCCCTCAGCTCCCTGGCGCAGTGGTCTTGGAAATACGCCTTCCAATCCCGCGTGGCTACTGACCAGGACTGGCGTGGGGACATTTTTTTTTAAAGAAAAAAAATCCCATTCAGTGTCCCAAGCGTGTGTAGCCACGGCAGTGTTGTGATGGCGACTCTGAGTTCCTAGAGGGAAGGGATGGAGTCTGTGACTACGTCTAAGGTTTACTGCAGACTGGGGACGAACACTTAGTAAATGTTTTTCTTGAAGGTGATGCTGTCTAGGTCTTTTCTCTTAGGGGAAAAGAGCCTTAAACTTACCTGTAGCTGCAGGTTTCTGGCCCCACTCCCATTGCTGGTCAGGTTCTGCAAATGCCCAGGGTCCAAGGGGGCACCTGCATGGGTATTGGCAGTTTCTGTGGTGGTGGGGTATCTCTGATGAAGGCAACGTTGAAATAAAAGCAGTTTCTTCTCAAGCATGTTAAGATGAAATGCTGCTCTGTAATCCTCAGATAGAAGTTGTTTCATAAGCTGGGTCTCTGACCCACTTTTTTCCAAATCTGTTTATTGAACAAGGAATTGAGCTAGGACCCATTGTATGGAAAGCAAACCCAGAAATGATTCATGTTCAGTGTTGTTCATTATGTTTAGAAACGTTCCAAATTAATTTGGCTTGGCTCGGCAGCCATATCTGAAACACCATGGCCTGGCACTCTGCTAAGCTTCAAAGATGTCCATGACCTTAAGGAGGGTACTGCGCAGGACACTATCTTTAGGGGCTCAAGGGCATTGCTGTAATCTGAGCTGCGATTTTGTCTCTTCCCAGGAGGAAATGGATGCTAGAGACAAGCAAGTGCTTCGCTCCCATCGCCTGGAGCTGGGTGCCGAGGTACTGGTGGAGGGACTGGTTCTTCAGTATCTTTACCAGGAAGGGGTCTTGACGGAAAACCATGTTCAAGAAATCAAAGCTCAAGCCACAGGCCTCCGGAAAACAATGCTGTTGCTGGATATCCTACCTTCCAGAGGTCCCAAAGCATTCGATGCATTCCTAGATTCCCTGCAGGAGTTTCCCTGGGTAAGGGAGAAGCTGGAGAAGGCAAGGGAAGAAGCTGTAGTTGAGCTGCCTGCAGGTAGGCCTCAGAAAGAGCGCTTCAAAGCAGCTCTAAAATTGTTGGAAGTATGCCCTTTGGATTTGAAGTTGGGGTTTTAGGCTGGGAGGGGGATGGCGGTTCCTGAGAGTGGGTAAGGAGTTTGGACTGAAAGCACTTGGCATTGGAGGGACAGGATGAGGAGGTGGATTTAGGAAGTTCAGGGAAGGAAGGATGAACCATGATTGAGAGGGTGAAGAGAGCGCTCAGAGAATACATTCAGAAATGCTTCCAGGGAAACTTGGCCAGTTACTTGGGAGGCATGTTCTCATCCAAGAGCCAGGTCATTGGCATCGGTAGCCATTTGGAAAGTACAGATGGGAAAGCAGGCATTAGGCCTCCTGATAGCTGGTTCGTGGGGTGCCAGAGCTGCGGGCAGGAAAAGGTCAGCTTCATGGAGGAGGAGGCAGCTTCTAGGAAGGCACACCTTCCACCTGTTCCCTGGGCTGTCCTCCATGGCCATTTGGAAGCCTGGCTTAGTTTGCTTTTAAAGGTTGTAATTTCAAGTCGTCCTTCTTAGTTTGGCTGTCTTCAGACACCTGGAGTATTTAATTTTGTAAGGATAGTAGTTTGGCGAGGGTCTCATTTGATTTTAAGGAAAATTGGAAGCTACAGAAAAGAGAAACACTTCTGATGCTGTTAGCCTGGCTTGTAGCTGGAAGAAGATGTAATATGAGACACTTGTTCCCTCTTAACACCTCCCGCGGCATCTACTTTTTACAAAGATTAAGGAGCAGAGACCTAAATTGGCAGGAAAAAAAATTGAAAATTGACTTGCAAATTTTTAACAGATTTAGGAAATCGACTTTCTCTGGAGTTTTTTATAGCAGTGGTCGAACTACTCCAAGTCAGTGGTGTCCAGACTTGGCTGTTGCTGTTTTTGAAATACCAATGTAACTGGTTAAAAAACAAATACCAGTAATCAAAGACCCCTTTTATTGTTTTTGCCCCATGGACCTCATATTTTGAATGATTTTGCAGACCACATGTATTAGGTAATCAGGGTTAAGTCTTCTGCTTTTGTTAATGACAGGTCTGAATCTCTGATCAGCGTGAGATAACTAGTTAATGTAGGAAGGCCTGGTAAAATCCCGGTGGAAAAAGCAAAAATGTTTTCATTTCCTAGCATGGCCAAGTTACAGGGAAATGTATATTTTAGGCTTTTTTTGGAGTACTGAAAATAGCTGGCCTTTGAGGACCACAGGAATGCTCAGGTGGGATTGTCCTTACAGAATTAAATACTCCACATGCGTGAATAAAGCCAAGCTAGAGTATCTAAGACTTGCCCGCCAGTTTATTGAAAGTGGAATAGATAGCATCGAATTGGGGAGCTGTTAAAAGAAATATTAGGATGTCCAGTGTCTTTTCCTGGTATTTGACTTAGAGGGTCCTCTTGGCAGCACACAGTTGGAAACAACACAACAGGCAAACTGAAAACCTGTTTCTACCAAAATATTTAATGTAATTTTATAATCATTTGGGGTGATGTAAATAGTACTGTTGTATGCTGTTCATAGAGGCGTGACCCCATTTTCATTTTTTCAGCTTCATTTAGAGAACAAGAAAAAAATTAAGATGTTTTTCACCAATGGTGAAAGTGACAGAGAAATTGAGGGAGAAATATTTTTTTTTTAAAGCAAGCAGAACGAAACAGTATAGAGTGGGGAAAAAATTGAGCGTATTTGTGTTGAAGTTTAGAAAAATAACGTTTGTTAATTCTGTGCAAGTGGTCAAGTGGAACGATGGGTCAACTGGAACGATGGGTCAACTGCTGTACAAATTAAGTGTTCTTAATTGTTTTACTTTGTGTTGTGTGTAACCCTGCTACTGGAAACAATGTTCTGAAGAGAGAGCTTGATTTACATATGTCTCTATATACTTTCTACAGTGACAATTGCATAAACTCACTTTTTAAATAGTTTTTGTTAATTATTGAATATTTTAAGTAAGATTACAAAGTGTAAGTAAAGTATGGAGAATAATGGTGCAATGAATACCTGTCTCCCCATCGCTCAGTTGAAAAACATATTACCATTGCGTTTGAGGACCCTGGTGCTCCTCCCCAGCTCTCGCTCATGCCCCGCCCCACTCACTGATAAACCCTGAATTTGGAGTCTGTCACTCACTTCTTCACTTCGTGGTTTTCCGTCTCAAAAAAATCACTTGTAAAATTCACATATTTTGCAGAAAATCCAATATCCCATAATTTTTATCGATATATATATATATATATATATGGGGGGTAAGAGATGGGAGAAATGATATATTTTAAAGTTGTTGGTAGTTAACAGCCTTCTCTTTTTTGAGACCTTAAACTTTATTTAGGTGTTTAAATTAATTAATTTGATGGCAGTATTTTAATTCTAAAATTGAATTGGGACTTAATTAATTGGAAGCCTAATTTTCTTTTTGGGAAAGCCTGGAAAGAGTATCAAAATTGAAATGCCTTCAGTTTAATGTCCCTGTAAAAAATGAGAACAGACCCAGAGGCGTATTTCCCGGGACCCCAGGGCTTCTCCAGAGTTGTAATAGAGTAATTTTAATAAGCTTTTAAATAGTCCATTTAAATTTTTGTGAAGGCATTTTCGAATTTTGAGGAACTGGCCTGTGGGAAAATGTGGTGCTTATATATGTCTATGTATATGTTAACCTCTTCTGACCTTTTCCTCCTTTTGGTTGTAATTATTAAATAATTTCTCTAGATTTGGTGGTCTCCTCTTGGGAGGCCTTGAGAACGAATGGAGAGGGATGGCTTTCCCTTTGGCCAAGAAGTCGATGCTTCTCCAAGAATGAACTGCTTTTATTTTATTACAAAGTTTTCTTGTTTTGGTTGTCTCGGAGGTTCTTGATTTCCCTTTTGTTTGCTTGTTTAATTTTTGTGTTTCACTTGTAAATTTTGAGCTTCCTCAAAGGCCTTATTTAGTGACTGATCCTACTTAGTTGCTTTTTATTTGTCTTCTGGATGTAATTTTTAGAGAAGAATCGAGTTATCTGTTGATCCCCTCTACTCTTCTAAACTCCACCCCCAGCCAATCCTCAAACACAGAAACCACCTTAAACCTTTGATTCTCTCAGAATCTGCCTAGATGACTTGTCTCCCTATCACTATGAAAAAATAAAAGTCTAAGATGTTTAATGGATAAGAGATTTTCTGTTCTTCTCACCCTATAAGAACTCATGTTTTGAAAGAGGAATTCTGGCGATAAAATGACTTAATCCTGCTTGGCACTGTGGAAGGAACACTTCTTGGTGTGTCCCTTACTGGCCAAGGTCACATAGTAGACAGTAGGTGAGCTGGAGATCCTCTCTGGGCTCTGGCAGGTCATTTAGGAGATGAGGACAGTGCTGAATCTGGGTGAAGGCAGCATGTGCCTGCCCGCTGGCTTCCCACTGCTCGTGGGCCCTGTCAGCACTGACGGGCTCACTCACAGCTGGTAGGACTTAGCCTAAGTCATGCTGGGAGTGACTCCTGCACCCCAGGACTCCCTGTTCCACTGTGTTGGCCATGGCTGTGGAACTGGATCTCTGCCATGACTCTCACTTAGCAGTCAGCCTGGTGACCCTGCCTTTGACACCAGTCTTCCTTTAGCCTGGGGGTTGTTTTTTGCCTTTTGTTTTTCCTCCTTTCTAAGCTAGCTTCCTGCTTTCTGTTCTTTTTGCCACCGGTAGGGATGAAGGATAGATATCTTGGGACACAGCTCACTGCCTCATATGTTAGCATCAGATGCCTCAATTCTTTAGCCTGCTGGAGTGGCTGTCCTGGAGCTGGCATTTGCTTCAGCCTTGCCTGAGCTTGCACTGGGCCTCATCATGGACTCTGTGCCCTGGACTCCATGGCTGCCCTCACTGGAGCAGGATGCAGGCTGGCCTGTTTTCCCTCTACCCATCGGCCTCAGAGCTCAGCCTGTCCCTTTTGGAGCTGGCTTTTCCTGACCATGCCAAGCCACATTTGTCACTATCTCAAGATACACTCGGACTCTCAGATGTAAACTTGGATGCACCTGAAGTTACTGGGCAATTTGTGGTTGTTAGTGCTGACTCCTAGCGCCCCTGTGGACAGTAGAGCAGAAGCCTGCCCGGTCTTTTTGCACCATCCTCTCACCTTCTGGTGCTCTATCAGACAATGCTGCAGTGCTATTCATAGGGTTTTCATGGCCAGTTTTTTGGAAGTGGGTGCCCAGGTCTTTCTTCTTAGTCTGTCTTAGTCTGGAAGCTCTGCTGCAACCTGTCCACCACGGGTGACCCTGCTGGTATTTGAAATACTGGTGGCATAGCTTTCAGCGTCACAGCAGCATACAGTGGCCACAGTATGACAACTGACAGAGGGGTGGCGTGGTTCCCTGACCAGGAAATGAATCCAGGCCGGGCAGTGAGAGTGCCAAATCTTAACCACTAGACCACCAGGGCTGGCCTACTGACCAATAATGGCAAAAATTTTAGGTATTGTAACAGGTTTATTAGAGAGATTTCTAGGCTGGGATTTCCCAGTCATACCTTGTAATTGACCCTCCTCTGCATATGATGAGTTCAGTGTTGATCTCAGTTTATCTAGCTTCTGGTCTGTCCAGGCACTTCCACTGTGGCTGAGTAGAGTTCACTTCGTGGCATCCTGTGTACTAGAAAGGGAATGGTGGGTCCGCATCCACAGCCAGACCCCTCCTTGTGGTAAGGGCAGAGTGTACGGAGAGCCCAGATTTCTGTGGATCCCCAGCATGCTTATCATATACTTCCTGAGGACCAACTAGAGGCCAGGCACTAGGTAATAAAGACATACGAAGGTCCTCCAGACCAACTGAGGAGGTTCATTCGTTCATTCAACAAATATTGAGTATTGACCATGTGCCAGGCATCAGGTGCTAGGGATATTATAGTAAACGAAGCCCCTGCTCTTCTGAGCTCACTGTATTCTGTATCTGGTGGGGACAGGCAGCAAGCGAATGAATAAACAGGACATTGGGTGGTGATAGTGCTGTGAAGACAAA